GCTCGGGCCGGGGTCGGGCGCCGGGACGCGCGGCCGGCGGCGGCAGGGCCGGTACTCACCCCGAGGCGCCGGCTGCGGATCCGCACGTAGCCCTGCTTCACTATGTCGTTGAAATTGGAAGCCATCCCGATGGCCCCGGCGACCCCTGCCGGCGCGCCCCGCCTCGGCTCTGGGGAGGGCGCAGGGGGTCGGCGACCGCGCGGGGGCAGAAAGTTGCGGGGCGGAGCTGCGCGGCGGCGGCTGGCGAGCTGTCAGGGCGCTCGCATCGCCTCCGCGGTCCCCACCCTGAAGCGGGCGTCCGGCTGCCGGCAGCCGCTTTAGGGGTGCGCGGCGCGGCGCGGGGCGGCGAGGCTGGGCGCCGGCGTCAGCTGACTCCGCAGCAGCCCGCCCGGAGGAGGAGGCGGAGGAGGAGGAAGGAGCAGCAGGAGGAGGAAGGCGGCGGCGGGGCGCGCGGGAGGAGGAGCCCGCGGGTCCCAGCGCCGCCGGGCCCCCCGCGAGCAGACGCAGCCCCGCCCCCCTGCCCGTCGCCCCCGCGCGCTCGAGTCCCCACCCCTGGTGGCTTATTTTAGGAAGAAAGGAAATTTCACTTTTTCCCCTGGGGCTGCTCGCCCCACGCCCCACATCTTTCTTCAGTCTCGTTCTTTCTCCAGAAGGGCCAATTGGGGGTGCAGGGGGCATGTGCGCGCCCAAGGGTGGCCCTGAGCAGCAGGCTATGACGTGGCTTACACTGTCCCCCTGGGCTCTCCTTGGCATCCGCCTCTGGGGTAATCATTTGCCACATTTTTCTTGAGCCAGCCTCAAGACTAACGTTTACCAGAGGTTAAGATGTGACCCCCATTACCCTGAGCCTTCAAAGTCTACCTCTGAGTTAGTGCTCAATGAATCTTTCAGTGGTTATCTAGAGGGTGCCAGCCGGGGTTCCTGGCCTGTTGCGTGGATTAACGCATCTAAACTCCGCTGATAAGATAGGACCTGCCTTGGCTAAAGGCAGGCCTGTATTTAAACTTCCATCATCGGGCATAGCTTGATCTCATAACCATTATAAGATAGTTGTTGCCTACACAATAAGGGGATGGGGATGAGATTACCTGAAGCCAACTTGCTTTGATACAGCTCACAACTGTCAAGCACCTCGCTGGGCGTTGTGCTTATCTCGTTAAGGAAAGAATGAGGAGAGTTCCAGATCCACGTTTTACAGAAACTAAAGCTCGGAAAACTCTAGCCTGGGGGGCTTGCTCTCTGCCAGGACCAGAGCCAGGCTTTGGGTGAAACCAACCACTAAACATTGCGCTGTGCCTCTTCAGAAGATCCGGTGCAGTAGGGGATGGTTTACAAGTGGGCATCTGAGGAAACTTTCAAATCACATATAGAATCATCAGAGACACAAGAGGTCAAAAATAAGACCCTGATTGCTCCCTGGAGGTGATCAAACGGAGGCTGAGGGGCCGTCAGAGCAGAGTCACCTTTCCCAAGAGTTGTTTGGTGGATGTCATGGAAGCCCTTTTAGCTCCAGGATTATACAAATCTGTTTCTTTCTCACCCGGAACACAGGCTTTTAGGGGACCTGGCTCGATGGACGTCATTCGGTTAAAGAAAAGAATCGTCCAAGAGTGAGTCATAGGGGAACCAGGACTAAAGTGAGGCGACCAAAAAGCAAATATTCTGGCTGAGAAAAATCTGTTGGTTTTTTTTTTTTTTTTTTCTGCTCTATAGTAAAGCTCCATCTGTTCTGCCTTCCTGTTGCTATTCTATGAAAAACATTTTTTTTAATTTTAAATCTCACTCAAAGTGAAGTAAATGATAATATCGTGTGGAGAACACTTTCTGAAGAATTAGAACTGAAAAAAAAATGCTGTCTATAGTTGCCATGAGACAAGTATTCGTGAAAGGCATTGGTTCAGCATACCGTTTGCACACCACATCTATAGTACCATGGAAACAAAGACTAAAGAAATTAAGGCGCCTAAAGAGCTGGGCAAAGCTCACATAACAGAAATAACAACAGAGAAAAAAGGCTGAGAAATCCATGCCTCCATGGGGAATGCTGAGCGTAGTAAGCATCCATAAATAATTAACTCAGAGTGAAGGCATTAGAATCATACTAGAAAGAAACTAGTGGAAGAAAGCAAATTATCTTTTTAATTGTCAGATTCAGTTCAGCATATGCTTTCATTTGTTTCGGGAAATCGAACTGGTATCCACGCAACATACGCAGGCAGCGATATGTCATTTGCAGAAAAGCCACTTCGATGTCCCCAAATTGTGCAGTACACAATAATGACTGCATTCATCAGCTCTACCTCACTCTGAAAAAATACTGGAGAAAGTTCATTTGGGGAAGAAAAGAGTTCATTTTATTCAGGCTCATGGATTCAGAAGTTTCCGTTCGTGGTCAGCTGGTATCAGTGCAGTAACGCTGAGGAAGGAGGCCTGCCCACCTCATGGAGGTGGAGAGGCAGAGAGCACAAGAAGAATATGAGACACAGGGCCAGGTCACATCCCCATAGCCCACCACACACACCCGGAAGGGTACCAGTACCATAGGGGTCTCTCAAGCCAATCTAGTGGACCAGCAAAATTGACCATCACAGTGACAGAAAGGCAAAGGAGAAATTCTTTGAGACACACAGTGTGGAAAAATTTACAGAGCCACACTCTCCATGCACTGCCTGTTATGGTATGTGTCCTGTTGTCCCCTCCAAAGCCTCATGCAGTCATGAGGCAGCTTCTAGAGTTTGTGATTAACTCATAATCCAATGCTGGGATTATGGGCATGAGCACTACACCCACATGGGGCAGACCACCTGAATACAATATAAGGAGGGAAGAGGGCTCACAGCTGCTGCTCCTCTCTTGGCTCTTTGCTGTTCTCCACAGCCATGAGCTGCTGCCCTTTTCCATGTGCCACTCTGCCTTAGAGCCAGATGAGTATGGACTGAAACCTTCACTAACTGTGAGCTAAATAAATCCTTCCTTCCCTAACTATGGGTATCAGGTATTTTGTCCCAGCAACGAGAAAAAAGTAACCGAGACACAGCCCAACAGACACCCTTCCACACACAGGTCAGTTTTACTGGAGTTGGATTTGATCTAAAAATCCACCACTTTCGTCTCCTTTTTATTCTGTTTTCAACACTTAGGACTTCTTGTTTGCAGTGTGGATTTCTGTTGGCTTGCTCGGCATCCGGGCTCCCTTCTAGTGACTGCCACTTTGTCTTGGGGCAGGCCTGTCCCATGCTCCCAGGACAAGAGTGTGTTCCCTAGGATGACTGTGGGTTGGTTCAGCTGTGGGCACAGAGCCCACTCTGGCTACTCAGTGTTATTGGCTTGTTTTAGCTCAGCACTGGAACAAAGACTCCCATTCTGGTGGCTGCACTGGAAGTGCAGGGAAGCATCCAGGAGCTGTTGGCACCTTCAGGAGACCACCCTGGGGGAGGACTCACTTGAGATGGGTGGGATTCTCCACTGAAGCAGCAGGCCCAAGAGCAGAGGAGAAGCAGACCAAATCCTGATGACTATCTCAGAAGCACCCTATGAATGCTCTGGGTTTCTTAAGTAGATGTGACACTGACTAAGACGCTTTCTTGTCACTGGACACAATTCCCAACACCCACAACGTAAATGAAGAGAGGTTTGCTTGGGTTCACAATTTCCGTCTATGGTCAGCTGGCTCCATCATAAAAGCAGCGTGGCAGAGGGACACAGTGGAGGGTAACATACTCAAGCTGGGGCAGCCAGGAAGCAGAGGAGGGGGGAGCACACACCCTTCCAAGCCACGCCCTTCCTTGGTCCTAACAGCAGTCAATGACTTGAATTGAACAAATTTTATTTATTACTCATGTAACAATCCAGGAAGAGTAGATTGTCCTGGGCAGGTAGGAAGCTTGGTCCCATAAGGCCATCAGAGGTCCAGGCTCAGGGGTCAGCTCTGGCTCCTCAGGACATGATTTCCATCCTGCAGTCTTGCATCTTCCTTATCCCAGGAAGAAGGAAAGAAGCCCAGAGGGGAAAGAGCTCCCCAGTGAAACGGTAACCAGGGTATTGCGCGTGTCTTTCTCAGGTAGCCTATGCAGCAATATTTTGCCACATCCCGAAGGAGAATGAAGAGTGTTGAGTGCTGTCTCTAATTTGACTTAACTTTGTTCCTGTAAAAACACTGTGAATTGAGAAGAAGCCCATCGGTTAGCACTTTTATTTTATTGTATGTTAATTTTTTGTGCAGGAATTGAACTCAGAACCTTGTGCTTTCCAGACAGGCACTTATGCTGCTGAGCTACATATCCCTGGCCCAGTGAGCACTTTCTCCTATACCAGTGCCAGCCCTAGGCCACCTCACTGTGCAAGGGATTTCCCTTCCTTGATTAAAACACCATAGACCCAGACATTCTGTCACTTGCCACCAGAGGAGTCCTGTTCTGGGCAGCATTGCATTTTGACTCGAAGCTTCAAAACATCCCAACAAAACTGGGTGAAATAATGCCTGATGACTGTGGGAGGGTCCAAAATTGTCTTCGGCATTTTCAAAAATATTTTTTTAAAAAGCAAAGAAAGGAGAATATGGGCTAGAGACAGAGCTCCACAAGGCTGAGATGAAAACTGCCTCTTGGACTCCCCCCTGACCCTGTTTGTTTGTTTGTTCGTTTGTGACTTTTTGGTTAGATAGAGCTGCAGGCAGCACACTGTCCAGGTCTGGACATGGGGAGGAAAGAGGGACTTAATGTTTAAGGAGGGTATGTTTAGGGCATAATGTTTAAGGTGGCTCCTCCCATCAGGGCCGTGCCTACATTCACAGGCTCCTGAGAGTGCGTGCTTCCTTAAATCACACCCTGTAGATTTTCTACTGCTTTGTGGGAGTCCTGGCCTCCACCGTGACTTACCCCCCAAAAAAGTATTCATTAAAAAGAAGTGATTACATATTCAAAAAAGAGCACAGATAATAGTACTGCTATGTAAACATCTTGTTAATAGGGTGCAGAACTATGTCAGACTCCAAAGTAGACCCTTCCAACCATAGTACTGCGGAGCCAGGAATTAATGCAAAGGCTGCGTGGTCCATGACTTTCTGTGCAAAAATTTAGTGGAGCTCAAGTATGTAAATGGCTCTTGCTCTGCATCCAGTTCAGCCAACCATTATTATTGATGTTATAATTATTATTATTATTATTACTATTATTACCATTACTATTATTAGTGAACTACTCAAGATAGGAAATTATGTACAGAAGCCTGGCACTTAAGCTCTCTTCCAGAGCAGGTGATAGTGGTCCGAGCTTTGCCAAGGGAGCTCGTATTTTCTCTAAGGGCCACACTGCACCTAGGAGGCTGGCTGGCATGGCACTTGTCCAGTACCCTTACCAAAAATAACTTGATCCCCTGCCCGCTGCCTAAGCTCCCAGCGAGTGTCCCA